ACCTGACGAAATGGTCGCCGGTGAGCACGCGCACCGCGTCACGTCAAAAGGTATTGGCGCCTTGACTGTGGCATGTAGTGATGTTCTCAAATGACAAGCATCTCATGATTATCATGTTTGTACTAGTCGCATACCTTCGTCATCCAATCACGTCACGTAATAACAAATTTGGCATATGTAAAGCTAGCGAAACGGCCGTGAGTGCATGATGAGTGTGGCATGTAGTCATCTTGTTACATGACACACGTGTCGTGATTGTCATGTTTGTATGTGTCATTTACCTATGTCGTCCGTTCGCGTCCCATGATACCGAATTTGGTTCATGAGAAGCTGGCGAAACGGCCGCCAGTGCATCATGAACATAACATAGTGTCATGTTGTTACATGACACGCATCTCATAATTATCATGTTTGAACCAGTCCCACACTTTCGTCCTCCATTCACGTACCGTAATACTAAATTTGGTATATGTTACGCTAGCGAAACAGGCGTGAGCGCATCATGAGCTTCGCATGTAGTCATGTTGTTACATGACATGCATGTCATGATTTTCATGTGAGGGTTTGTCGCTTGTGTTCGCCATACAATCATGTCAAACCATACCAGTTTTGCAACATGCCATGAGAATGAAACCACCGCAAGAGCTGCAGGACCATGTAATGTAAATCGGGACATTCATGACATCCATGTCATGATTTTTATGTTACGTCTAGTCAAATATGTTCTTTATACAGTCAGGTTATGCCATAACAAGTTTGGTATCAATCCCATTATCGAAACGGCCAGGACAGCTAAAAGCCATAAATGGCGAGATAGATAGATAGATAGATAAATAGATAGATAGATAGATAGATAGATAAATAGATAGATAGATAGATAGATAGATAGATAGATAGATAGATAGATAGATAGATAGATAGATAGATAGATACGCACAATGTCACCGAAGTTCGCTAAGAAATGCTTCGCATTTAAAAGAGGAACCTGACGCCACACTGCTATCGCGAGAGCGAAGTATCTTTTTATGCCATGTGCTACAGCCAGTAAAATTTCATGCCGATTCACCTGGTTTTTACTGGCTGAAATGAGCAAGAATCTTGTGTTTATCCACATTTGCGTCACGGAACCAATGTCGTTCACCTTTGCACGCTGTTTATTGAAACCAATGGCAGATATTCACAAACGACTCGGAGAGAAGAATTCCCGAACGCCCGCGTTCCCTTACAGCGAACTTGATGCAATTGTGAGCATGGACGTCATGACGTATGTCAGAACATTTGGGACGAACGGAAATATATGTACGGGCATTCGCGCATTTCAGTGCCACGGAAATACACGCTTGTCGTAGGTGGAAATCTATCCCGCGCCCTGTAACTAAATACTGCCTCCTATATGTTTATGCTGCAGGCCGAGGATTTGTTTTTCCTTACCTCACAATAAAGAATGTTGCTAAATAGTCAGATGAAACACTTGCTGAAACGTATGCCATATTTGGCGACTCGAACCGAGCGTATCCTGCAAGATTTCATTATATTTCGTTTCAATTTATTTAGGCAAAAAGAAAACAAAATGCCTAGGCTGAAAGAACTAAAGGCAGTTTACCTCTGCCTGACTAAGTTCCCTCCACATGTACATTTGCTCAGATGGAATGGAACAAAAAAGGCAGATTTCTATTTTATATTCTTTTATTTTTTTTTTTTTCAAACACATGGGGGTGTCAAACTGCGAGAAGCGGTGGGAGGCGGCTCTGCTAAGCCACGACCTCACCGATGAACTGTGGGCAGTCCAGCATGCCCAGGAAGCCGCTCGTGTCCAAAGACTCGAGGCCGTCACCTAGGCTGGGGTGCATGTAGCCCCACCCCAATAAATACCACCGGAAATTGTCAATGAAGCTTTTACTTCCCCACGCACAAAACCAAATTCAGGTAGTAGAAAGCATAACTGAAGCATACATGCAAAAATTTCACGTTTGTTACAATCAGCACAAAATTGTCCCACTGCAAGATCAGAAAAAAAACACGTAGAATACAAAAACAATACACAGCATATCCATGGAGTGAATGATGATGAGTGGGGCGAAGCGCCTGTTTGTCCGTCCGTTCACTCCTATAACACCGAGCACGCATCGGAAGTGCGAAAAAAAATACAAATTATTTTTTTTCAACATGTTCCATAATCACTGACCCTGACAGTTAACGCGAAACAGTACGCTTTGTTATAACCCTAGTAGAACCCATAAAATAGTTCCGACTGCATTGCACTTACGAATAGGACAAATGAGATTGCCAGGAGTTTTTATGTTTGCGTGTCTCGATTGCACAGAAGGCACGCTGAACTTCGGTTTCGGACATTTCAGGCCACACAAGGGTCGTCAAATACAGCTTTCCTATACATAGCTGCAGAGGAGGAAATGATAACATCTTCAAACTTTCTCCTCAAGAAATTAATCAGCTACAAAAAGAAACAGCTATTGGCGTCTGTCCAATTATATTTATACTTAAGGTGATTGTTTTTTTTTTTGAACAAAAAAGATGCTTGGAAGCATTCAAACATTTAACGATAACATGTAAGCAATCAATTCGTTGCGTGAAAAGTCTAGGGACGCAGCAAAAAACCACAAAGAAGAAAACAAGAATTGTGAGTAACTTCGACGATGCGAGAAACAAAACTGAGAGGAAGCCGCTGCAAAACCTGCAAACCAGGTTTATATAACGATACGACAGTGAATTCTGCGTCCTTCGTATGAAAACTGAGGACCTAGAACAATTATTAGGGGCGAAGCTCCTTCGGGCGTGGGCTGTGCGTCCCCTGTAGCCTGTATGTAGCCACCTCTAGTTTAGTTCTTGCAGTGTTCACTAAATGGCGGTACCGTCCCCTGTATGTAGCCACCTCTAGTTTAGTTCTTGCAGTGTTCACTAGATGGCGGTACCGTCTCCTGTATGTAGCCACCTCTCGTTTAGTTCTTGTAGTGTTTACTAGATGGTGGTACTTGTAGCTGATGATGAAAAGATGCAAGATGTTATAAACTAAAAAGCAGTACTTGTAGTTGATGAAAGACGCGAGATCTTATAAAATAGGAATGATGTCACATATGGCGCGTGTCATTGGTTGAAGGCAATCGTTCGATTTAGTGCGGCGACGTACGCTAGGGGGAGCGTTGTAATAAAATCCGTTCGCTGTTGGCGCGCGCTCGGAGTCGCCGGATGGATAAGGCTGCACAGCGGAGAGAGCGCAAGGCGGCAGCAGCGCGCGCTCGCAGACAGAATCCCGATGTGCGAGCGCGCGAGGCAAGGGACATCGCAAGCCATCCATCGTCTAAGAACAAATAAAAGTTGATTTGTGTATATACACACACAGCGTTTCTCACGTCTTTACATGATGATTGACTGGGCGAATTACGCGGAAGATTCACAGTTTACCGATGAATCCCTCCGGAGCTTCGCCCATTCATCATCATTCACCCCGTGAATATGCCGTAATTTTTTTTTGCTACTTAAATAGCTGCAGGTGGCACGAAGTGAGAGTTGAAGAACTCAAATTTATTAACCACCAAGAATTAATAGGTTGTGGCAAACCACTTTTTAATTGCTAGAAATGCATCCAAAAGCTGAACATTTTGATACACTTCAATAACTGAAGCTGTGCCCACCATTTAGAACCGGTGTTCGCACGTAAGTGATGGTGCCACTTCTGTGAGAGGTCGGGATGGTGTCATATATCCTATTTACAAGGGATGTTTTTCCCCCCAAAGATGGCTTCTGATTCTACAGTGCAGACCACTTATAACGTAACCGCTTTTTGCGCGGGACCGGTTATAACGTGGGTTTTTTTGACCACCGATATGTCGCCTTTAGAACTCAATGTATAGGCCGACCGTGTATTGCGTAGGCGCGCGAAGGAGAATACCGGTTATAGCGCGGAGGTTTTAGGCGTGCGACCATAAAATCGGCGAACGGAGCACGGTCGGCACGGTTTCCCGGCGGCGTTCCCGGCGCGCCGGAACGTTGGGAGTGGTGGTGGTGGTGGTGGTAGTGGTTAGAATGAAGAGGAAAAAGGCACCTAATTTCTGTCTGCCTTCAGGCGACACGGCGCAGTGCCTTATAGGGGTGGGGGGAAGGTGGGATGAAAAGAATAGAAGGAAAATAGACGGAGAAGAAGACAGCCAAGCGAGAGAAAAAAGAAGGAGATAGGAAAGTGGGGATCCGGTCGAAGCAGTCCAAGGGCGGGGCGCCACAATGCGAGAGCTGCACGGCGTCAGGAGACCGCGGAGGGCGAACCAGTCGGCGGGAGCTACGCTGACGGCGGAGATCGCGAGGGCACAACCGTCCAGCTTGAAATCCTGCGAGCGAATCCGGAGTGTGAGCGGGAGGCGCACGTGGAGACCACCGCGAAAAGTCAAACATTGCGGAGGTGGTGGTGGTAGTGGTTAGAAAGAAGAGGAAAAAGGCACCTAATTTCTGTCTGCCTTCAGGCGACACGGCGCAGTGCCTTATAGGGGTGGGGGGAAGGAGGGATAAAAAGAATAAAAGGAAAATAGACGGAGAAGAAGACAGCCAACGAGAGAAAAAGAAGGGGATAGGAAAGTGGGGATCCGGTCGAAGCAGTCCAAGGGCGGGGTGCCACAATGCGAGAGCTGCACGGCGCCAGGAGACCGCGGAGGGCGAACCAGTCGGCGGGAGCTACGCTGATGTCGGAGATCGCGAGGGCACAACCGTCCAGCTTGAAAACCTGCGAGCGAATCATTGCGGAGGAGAAGATAGGGTACAGTAGGGAGGGAGTCGGGGAGACCTTGGAAGGAGGGAGCATGTTTTCGTCACCGTGGCGACCGTGGCAGCGTCCAATCCGGGTGCGCGCTGCGCGGAGTGGGGGAGAGAAGCAGTAGCATGCTTTTTTTTTTTTCAACCTGCTTCTATTGCCTCTTTGGATTTGCTGTGTGCGCTTCGCCGTGTCGTTGCCGTTTGAGAGCCCAGAGCACGTGTGTTGCGTAGCTCCTGTCGCCATGGCGTCGGCGGCGTCTTCAAGCGGTGTGAAAAAACGCCGTGCCTTATCGCTGGAGATTAAGGAATGCGTCATAAGGGACATTGAGAGTGGCCTGAAGAAGGCGTCGGTGGCGGCGAAACACGGCGTTTCCGACACGACCGTGTCGACCATCGACAAAAACAAGGACAAACTGCGGCAGCAACTGCAGCAAGATTCGTCTTCCCTGTCACGGAAGAGAATACGTGCGTCAAAATACGAATACATGGACGCAGCGCTGTTCAGGTGGTTCCGCGAAGTTAGGCCTCAGAGCATCCCAGTAAGTGGCCCCATGCTCCAACAAAAGGCCAAGTGTCTCGGAGCTCTTTTAGGCCACGACGACTTCAATCCACTCAACGGGTGGATTCAGCGTTTCAAAGATCGCCATGGCATCAGCTTCAAAGTGGTGTGCGGAGAAAGCGGCACTGTCGACGACGAGTCTATCGAAGTCTGGCTTCAGTTGAACTTGGAGAGTATGCTGTCAATCTATACTGACAGAGACATTTATAATGCCGATGAAGCTGGTTTATTTTATAACCTTTTGCCCAACCGCAAGCTTGCGTTGAAAGGCGGAGCCTGCTCCGGCCGCAAGGTCTCAAAGGAGCGCATAACTGTATTGTTTTGCGCCAATTTGGACGGGAGCGACAAGCGTCGCCTCTTTGTCATAGGTAAATCGGCAAGGCCACGTTCTTTAAAAAGCGAGAGTGCCTGCCAGTGACCTACAAAGCCAATTAAAAGGTGTGGATGACGCAGGATTTGTTCACCAGCTGGCTTTGCAAGTTTGATGAGGATATGGTGGCAGAGAAGCGGCGGGTCGTGCTTATCCTCGACAACTGCACGGCCCATAACGTCAAGCCGAAGTTGACCGCAGTCAACCTCAAGTTTTTGCCTGCCAACACTACAGCAAAAAGTCAACCCCTCGACCAGGGTGTCATCGCAACCGTAAAGGCACTGTACAAAAAGCGCATTTGCGAGAGAGTTTCGCTGAGCATGCAACAGCAGCAGCCTCTTAAAGTGAACTTAAGAGGCGCAATTGACATGGGGGTCGCTTCATGGTGGCAGGTAAAGGCCGATACCATAAGCAAGTGTTTCAAGAGGGCAGGCTTCGTGCGCAATGCAGAGGCTCTGGAAGACGATGAGCAGAGCGACCCGTCGCTCGCTGATGAGACCCTCAACCCTGACGTCTTGTGGTCCTGCCTCGTTGACAGCAACTTTGTAACCGCCGCCGACACGTTCCAAGAATTCGTCGATGCCGAGGAGTCGGAGCTTTCTGTCTGCGAGGAAGCGAGCACAGATGACGCGATCGTCGCAGCGGTGCGCGGTAGTGCGGAGGTTGCAACGGACGGCGAAGACGATGTCGACCCGACGCCAGAACCAGATTTCCCGTGCAAAGACGCATTGGAATATCTCGCTAAAGTGAAAACGTACTGCGCGAAAAACAGTTTGAGCGAGAAATCGCTTCAGTGCTTAAGCTTTGTGGAGGACGAAATTGTTCGCAGCGCTGTTCACAAGCATCGCCAGACGAAAATAGCGGCGTTCTTCCGCTGGTGCCGCACTTGAGAACTTTCTTTCCGTTGTTACGACCGGCCCTGGGGAGCCAAGCAGCAAGAGTTTGGGGGAGAACCGGTTCTTGACCTGACGGTGTCGTCCACTCCCACCTCCCCATTCGGGTTCCTCCTCATTGGGAGAGCTCCGAGGTCTGCTGTGCGTTCGTGACCATGTTTGGTAACATTTTAGGGCGCCGTGACCATATATGGACCTCGTGTTGGGATGTGCCACTCCATGTGTTGTGAGGTGTGTTTCCCCCTCTCTCGTGGCCGAGGGGCCGGAGACACCGTATTGGCTGACGATGCGGACGGGGCGCCCAGTGTCAACGGCGCGGCGCTATAAAATGCCGAAGACGTTTCGTATCACACGCACTCTTCTCTCTTTGGGTCAGTTGACCACTTCTCCACATGTAAATAAATCTCTGTTGTTCGTTCGGGCGCTTCTTCTCGCTGAATTGTTGGACGATGGATCCTGCGACGGGGCCAGCTACCGAAAACGAGACCGGCAGGACCCGCAGTCCCAACAACTGGATGGCAGCGGCGGGATGCCGATAACCCCGAAAGCGACCACTGGACGGAGTGAGCCCGAAGTTCAACAACGGGACGACAGGAGAAGGAGGACACGAGCTCATCGACTTCCAGAGGGAATCGAACGGCACTTCTGAGAGGCATGACGCCGGAGACATGACTGCGAACTAGGTGAGTGCCGGCTTTCTCTGTTAAATTTTACCAGGCATTTACTCTATGTGTTAAGTAAAAGCTGGTAGAGAGGGGCTGTCTTGGTCATTGGGTTAACAGGTAACTTGCGTCAGGCAGAAATTGTGTGATAGCTTGGTTAAGCTCTTTCTGTCAGTGGCGTCAAGGTTAACAGTGACAGGGCAGGATTCCGTGTAAGAGCTTTTGAAGCTTTATTTGTAGACTAAGTTAACGGAAAACTTGAGGCAAGGCAGGTATCTAGAGCTGTCGTTGCCGTCAAGGTTAATTAGTTGCAGGACAGGAATCTTTGTGGAACAGAGACAGCGGTACTGGAGGCAGCCATGAATCTGAAATCCCTGCGAAAGTCCATGTTGTTGCTTCTTGCAAGGGAGTTGAATCTGGAGGTGTCGGATTCTCAAAGAAAGCCAGAGCTGATAGAGGCGATTCTCGCATTGGGGGCGGAGGATGACGAGCTGTCAGAATGTGTCGAGGAGATTCAGGAGAGGCAAGCGGCAGAGGCCGAAAGAAAGGCGGCCGCGGCCGAGACCGAAAGAAAGGCGGCCGCGGCCGAGGCCGAAAGAAAGGCGGCCGCGGCCGAGGCCGAAAGAAAAGCGGCAGAAGCCGAGGCAGATAAGATGCGAAAGCACGAGCTTGAAATGAAGCGCCTCGAGCTAGAGATTAGCCATAATAGTAGAACAGGAGGCAGCGAGGCATCCGGTACCGCAGAGCGGGTCAGGTTCAAAATGACGGACCTAATGAGATCGTACAAGCTAGGGGACGACATTGGGCTGTTTCTCGTCAACTTTGAGAGAACTTGTGAAAGGCAAGGTTTCAGCCAGGATACGTGGCCTCAACGCTTGTTGTCCCTACTTCCGGGGGAGGCCTCAGAAGTAATCGCGCGCCTCACGAAAGAGGAGGCGGACGAGTACAGTGAGGTAAAGTCGAGCCTTCTCAAGAAATACAGGTTGTCAGCGGAAGGTTTCAGACAAAAATTCCGAAACGCCGTAAAAGAGAACAATGATTCATACCCTGAGTTTGCTTACAAGTTAATGGCCAACATGGGGGAGTGGCTCAAAGAGGCAAAGGCGCATGGGAATCATGACAAGGTGCTCGAGTGTATCGGTCTGGAACAATTCTATCAAAGGTTACCAGAAAAGGTGAGGTTCTGGGTGCAGGATAGACCGGACGTGAACACAGTAACGAAAGCCGCAGAGCTCGCTGAAGAATTCGTTACGCGCCGCGCCCTCGGGGCAAACAGCGAGCCAAAAAGGGAAAAATTCCTACTACCGAATAAGGCGCCGTTTAGAAAACAACCGACAAGTCTCGCACAAAAGGGTGAGGAAAACAATTCATCTAACCATGGGGCGGCGGCAGAGGCAAGCAAAAGGAAATTTGAGGTGAGAAAACCGGCTGCTTGTTTCAATTGTCACGAAACAGGGCACTTCGCGAAACACTGTCCGAAAGAAAAGGTGGCCTTTTTATCTATAAATGAAGCCGACGAGAACATGAAGTTGTTAGAGCCCTATATGTACGACCTTACCGTGAACGGCAAGCAGTGTCGGGTTCTTGGAGACTCCGCAGCCACTATGGACGTAGTTCATCCGTCTTTTGTTCAGTCCGGACAGTATTCAGGAGACTGTGCCTGGATTAGACAAGCCGTAGAAGCAAACAGTCAGTGCCTCCCCGTAGCTAAAGTTGTCCTTAAAGGCGCATTTGGTACGTTGGAAACGGAAGCCGCGGTATCGCCATATCTACCCCCTCAGTATCCTTACTTATTTTCAAATAAGTCAGATCAAATGCTGAAGGAGAAAGGTCTAACGTTGGGAGAAGGCATAGTGCAGGCACTGACTAGATCGAAGGCACGTGCGCTGGCTGCAAGAGCAACATTCACTGAGGCAAACAAGCCTCAAATCGACAACGGGCCTGGTTGCGAGTTGGACACCACGGTAACAAATCGACTTGTGCGAGAACAGGCTGCAGAAGCCGTAGTCGCGGAAGCAACCATTCCTAAAGGCGACGATGAACCTCCTCCCGAATTGGAAGGGGTCAATTACGCCTCGTTGACCGAGCAAATAGAAAATGCCGTTGCTCACAAGCCGATTCCTGGTAGTACAGAGGATAGCACAGAGGTTGACACATTCCAGGTACTAGGAAATACAAAAGAGTTGTGTGTCATGCCAACTTCGGATAATTTCAGTCGGCTGCTGCAGGTGAGTCCCGCTTCATTAATAACCGAACAAAAGGGGAACCCGACGCTTAAGCAATTCCAGGATAGTTCGAAAGAGGGAATCGCCAAACGAAATGTGAGATTCCAAGAGAGGAGCGGCATACTCTATCGAAAATATCTAGATAGGCGAGGAGTAGAGTTTGACCAGGTAGTCGTACCTCAGGCGTATCGTCAGGATTTGCTTAGTTTGGTGCATGAAGAATCATGGTCAGGCCACTTAGGCGTAAAGAAGACGAAAAATCGTCTTTTACAGGAATACTACTGGCCTGGATGCTTTAAAGATGTAGAGAGGTTTGTAAAATCTTGCGATGTGTGTCAGCGAGTGGGTAAGCCGGGAGATAAGGCGAAATTTCCAATGAAGCTGGTACCCGTAATCACTGAGCCCTTTCGTCGGTTGGTAATTGACACAGTAGGTCCTTTGCCCAAGACAACTTCAGGCTACCGTCACATCCTGACCTTAATCTGCCCAGCTACTAAATTTCCAGAGGCGGTCCCGCTAAAAGAGCTAAGTTCCGTGAAAGTAGTGAACGCACTTCTGTCCGTGTTTGCCCGGGTAGGCTTTTGTGCCGAGATACAATCAGACCAGGGCACCATTTTCAAGAGTGCCTTAACGACAACCTTTCTAGAGCGGTGTGGCGTGAAATTATTGCATAGTTCAGTCTACCATCCGCAGTCGAACTCGATAGAAAAGCTTCACTCCGTGATGAAGCGAGTGTTAAGAGCCAACCTGAGCTTAGTTCACCAGACTACTCGAGGCCTTTCATAGTCCAATGCGACGCTAGTGATAGAGGCATGGGGGCAGTTCTTAGTCAAAGGGATGAGGGGGATCAAGAGCATCCCGTCCTATATGTTAGCCGGAAACTCACCCTTCGCGAGCAGGTTTACAGCGCTAGCGAAAAGGAATGTGCGTGCTTGGTTTGGGCAGTGCAGAAACTGGCTTGTTATATTGCCGGAAGCAAGTTCATTGTGGAAGTGGACCACTGTCCTCTCACCTGGCTACAGACCATGTCCTCTAAGAACGGCCGCCTGCTGCGTTGGAGCCTCGTTTTGCAACAATATACGTTTGAAATACGCTACAAAAAGGGTGGTCTCCATGGCAACGCTGATGGCTTAAGTCGATGCCCCTGACGCGAGAGGATGTCTCGAGAACTCTGGCATTTTTTTTCCTGACCTAGACAAGAGCTAGTGATTGTTTTTATTACTCTTTTAGGTGTACTTGTTTGAAAACGTTGAAGACACGGCTATCCAGGGTTTCGGGTTCGGTGTGCTTCCAGTGTTGTTGTTTTGTGTCACCTTAAAGTGTGAGTAACATTTTGAATAAATTGTGTATTTCCTTTAATATCAGTTAAAGGGGAAAATTGCCTGGTGGAGTTTGGCGGAATTGTCCGGCGCTCACCGGCTGAGTAGTTGTGTTTTCATGTGCGTATGTGATGTCTGTTGAGCCCTCAATGAAGCAGGTGTTGCCCTCTACTTCATCAAAGACGGTCGTCACCAAACCGACTGCCGGCGCTGATCTCTCCGGACAGTGGCTGCAAACCTCAGCCCATCGAGATCTTCACCCCCCCGCGCGAGAGACTGTTACGACCGGCGCTGGGGAGCCAAGCAGCAAGAGTTTGGCGGAGAACCGGTTCTTGACCTGACGGTGTCGTCCACCCCCACCTCCCCATTCGGGTTCCTCCTCGCCGGGAGAGCTCCGAGGTCTGCTGTGCGTTCGTGACCATGTTTGGTAACATTTTAGGGCGCCGTGACCATATATGGACCTCGTGTTGGGATGTGCCACTCCATGTGTTGTGAGGTGTGTTTCCCCCTCTCTCGTGGCCGAGGGGCCGGAGACACCGTATTGGCTGACGATGCGGACGGGGCGCCCAGTGTCAACGGCGCGGCGCTATAAAATGCCGAAGACGTTTTGTATCACACGCACTCTTCTCTCTTTGGGTCAGTTGACCACTTCTCCACATGTAAATAAATCTCTGTTGTTCGTTCGGGCGCTTCTTCTCGCTGAATTGTTGGACGATGGATCCTGCGACGGGGCCAGCTACCGACAACGAGACCGGCAGGACCCGGAGTCCCAACACCGTGCGGTGTTGTGA